GGGGGTGGGGGTGAGGCTCCCCACGAGGGCCGCTGTGCCTCCCTGTGCCGTCCGCCATGGAGACCCTGTCCCAAGACTCTCTGCTGGAGTGCCAGATTTGCTTCAACTACTACAGTCCCCGCCGGCGGCCCAAGCTCCTGGACTGCAAGCACACTTGCTGCTCGGTGTGCCTGCAGCAGATGAGGACCAGCCAGAAGGACCTACGTTGCCCCTGGTGCCGTGGGATCACCAAGCTGCCGCCGGGGTACTCTGTGTCGCAGCTGCCCGATGACCCCGAGGTGATCGCTGTCATTGCGATCCCCCACACCTCGGAGCACACCCCCGTCTTCATCAAACTCCCCAGCAACGGGTGCTACATGCTGCCCTTGCCCCTCTCCAAGGAGAGGGCGCTACTGCCGGGAGACATTGGCTGCCGCCTCCTGCCCGGTGGCCAGCAGAAGTCCCTGGCGGTGGTGACGATCCCGGCGGAGCAGCAGCCGCTGCAGGGCGGCCTCCCTGCTGAAGGGGTAGCGGAGGAGCCAGACCGGAGAGGTGTTGTGAAAAGCTCCACCTGGTCGGGGGTTTGCACTGTGATCCTGGTGGCCTGTGTCCTGGTCTTTCTCCTGGGCATCGTCCTCCACAACATGTCATGCATTTCCAAGCGCTTCACGGTGATCTCCTGCGGCTGAGGCGGGGAGGGAGGTGTGCTCCTCGGGGGTTGGGTCTGTGGTGGTGGTGGTGGTATCGAGCGAGACAATTCACCGCAGCTTTGCCCAATGACTGCAGAACGCTATGCACTGGGGCAGCGGTGCGCTGGCCCGGCTGTGGCCCCCAGCGGTGCAGCCTCAGGACTCTTGGCAGCGTGTGGAGAAAATCATGTCCCATGTCTGGCGGCAACAGCACTAAGGACTGCATGCGTCACCATAATCATTTATCAAAGGGACTGCAACTTACAGTGATTTTTTTTTTTATCGTGTTATGAGATTAAAGACATCTATGTAGCTGATTATACTGTAAAGTATACGGTATAAGCTCTTCTCTAAACACAATAGATTAAAATCAAAACTGCTCCATGTAGAATTAAAGGAGAAGTGGCGTGCAACTCTGTACAAGGTGTTCAATACCAGTCCACACATGCGTTATTTTTTAATGGGGGAGGGAGGGAGACTTGTAAAACCAAGAAATCATTTAGCTTGTAAGGCATTTTATATGTTTTAAACTGCACATTAATTAAACCAAGTTAGGAAGTTGTACAGTAGTTTTACAAGCAATCATTTTGTTCCCTGGTGCGTGTTTTTTGCCTCTCTGTTTTTCCTCATTTTTTTCAGCTACAGGGAAGTGGCACTTCCAGCATCTTTTATGTAAAGGAGCTTCCGAGTACGGAAGCAAAGTGGGCTAGGAGGAAAGCCTAAAAACGCAGCCAAAACACTTCTGCCTAACTGGCTTCACGCAAAGGATGGCTTTGAACAGTAAACACTGGACACGCTGTTTTACCTCCGATCTGGCAGCAGGGCTTCCCGATGATCTGACCTTCACAGCCATTAGTAAAGAAATGGGTCATGAGAAGTCCTAGGAGTCCTTCCTGCAAGGACATGATAGAAAATTTTTCTTCTTTTTCTAGAGGTTGGGTTTTCTTAATTGTTTTTAAAGACTTTAGACCTATTTTGCCTCCCTCTTTCCTAGGAGATGCAACTGTGCACCCATGGATGGTGTAACACAGGAGTTGCTCTAAGGAAGCCTCACCATCCCAACTGAGACCAAGGACCCTTACGTGCAATCATCTAGTAAGAGGCAGTGACATAGCTGGGAGGAGAACCCAGGCCAACCTAACCTTCTACTGGATGGGCTACCCCTCCTAAACCACTGTGGCTGTCCTGGTGTCAAAATGTCTTGGTGAGCATAACAGAGCCTTTTCCCACATTTCAGTCTTATAAAAGTTGGTGTTTCTAAGGACAGATTTTAAAAAAACACAGGAAGTGTCTCCCTCCACCCGTGAGTGTCATGAAACCCCAGTCGTTTGCAGTTCACTTCTTGGAAAGAGCCAAATTCCTGAACCTTCACTGCAGTAGCGCCTTGCTCTAAGCAGTCCCACTAGCTTTAGTAGTACTGCTCACAAGTAAAATAGAGCTTAGTGTGAATTTGGGTATTTGGCAAGTCTGAAAGCTGAAATTTGTGTGAGATTTAGGGATTGGATCAAGGGGCACATGACAGACCTTTAATAAGACATAAAAATCTATTGATTTGCACTGGTTCTTTTTGCAAGTACAAAGCGTAACCTCCCTGAAGCGTGACCTCTTGTCGTCTACCTACTGCTCTTTCTAATAATTAATTAGAGGTTGCTCAATGCCATATTATAACACTGGAGAACGTAATTTTGACTATGCAGTGCCCAAGCTGGCCCTGTAGACGTCAGTGGTTTTCTGGTTATGTCACAAAATCCAGTTGCTGGTTCACAATAAACATTCTCAGCTAGGACTTCTGTCAGGAACATACCTCTAACTTCGTGCTGGATTTCTTCCCCTCCCTGTTCCCAAACCACCATTTTCTTCCTTGATTCCTGTTAACTAAAGAATAGCATATACGGTGCTTAATTGTTATGGTGTGTGTTGGGTCATGTATGGAGAGGAACCATTGTGCTGATTTTTGTCTACTGTCATGTATGCATAACACAGCAAAAAAAAAAAATCCTCGGATAACACATTCAATGCCTTTTTCGTGCAAGGCCCATGTGCAGTATGCCTTGAACCTGGCTTACGAGTATTGTAATTACATGGACACCTCTCCGCAGCATGTTTAATTTGGTTGCAGTAGGGAACAGCAGGAATTCCAAAATGTGTCTTGTGAACGTGCTAGTCTCTTGTGCCAGTAGGTAGCCAGATTTCTACTGACATCCACCTTATGCTGCTTATTGTGTAAAGGAAAGCCAGTTCACAAAAAAATCTTGCCTTTATAAGACTCTTGAGGAAGTGACCAGATACAGGACTCGACCCTCTACTGCCTTATCCCCTGTAGCAATTGCGGGGTGTACCAGGAGCATATAGCATAGCTGGAAGATGCTCCGAGAACAGCGCTGATATGTTTTGCACCAACTTCTGCATTTGTTTATCCGAGTTGCCAATGACTGCTCAAAAATGTGAGGCAGTCAAAGAGCAGGTCCTGGAGATACAGTGCTGATAATGTTGACCTCCTTCTGGCCGTACCTGCCCGACTGAAGCTCTTGAGGCTGAGGTTTCTCTGGCGTTGCAGCGAACGGCTGTCTTGAAAACCCCTCTTCGTCCCTACGTGGAGGGTACAGTATGAAAGAGAAATCAGAAATTAGGTTAAAATACTACACTGCATAACACATTATGCAACAGGCAGACCTGGAGTTTATCCGGTATTAATGACGTAAGTATTATATTAGCAGAATACCATCCTGTATTACGTAACACAGTACATTGTTTCGTTAATATGAATTTCCTGTACTTTTTGTGCCTGCTGAAATGCATGTTTGACCTAATTTCTGATCCAGACATTTGCCTGCTCACAGCCTTGTGTAAGAGCAATAAGTAAAACCTCAAGATTTTTGTCTGCGTGCGTGCATGCGTGTGCGCGCGGTGTGTATGTTCATTCCTTTTTATAAATAGGAGTTCTGGAGATGTTTTTGTTCTGGCTTTAGACTGTGACTATCATTTTAAATTTGCAGCTGCAAAATCATGTTGGATCACCCCTGCTCACAGCCTTGTGTAAGAGCAATAAGTAAAACCTCAAGATTTTTGTCTGCGTGCGTGCATGCGTGTGCGCGCGGTGTGTATGTTCATTCCTTTTTATAAATAGGAGTTCTGGAGATGTTTTTGTTCTGGCTTTAGACTGTGACTATCATTTTAAATTTGCAGCTGCCATATCATGTTGGATCACCTAGCTTTTTTGCTGACTTGTGTAGAAGTGAACTAAATAGTTTGTTGTAACGTACAGTGTTAAAATGTTTCTCAAGTATGTCGATAGTCATACTACTTTAAAAATGCAGTGCAGTCTGTCCCATTCCTTAGTCCAATACCTGGTATTAAAAAGTGATACTGCTATATACACCTCTAAGTTTTTATTTAATTTTTTTTTAAAAAACAGCCTTGTCTTTGTAGCTTTTCTCTGTGGAGAAACGCATTTGGACTTGTGTCAAAATCACCAGGTTCTGGGCTAATTTTTGTTCTCTGGTGTCCAGTAAGAAATCACTGCCCAGTTCCACCAAAAAAAAAAAAAGAAAACTTACTGTGACTCCAGTACTGTTTGAGCAACCAAAATTTATGCTAAAACTTGTGGGTAATTACTCAAGCACCTGCATTTTTAGAGCAAATTACTCTGTATGAATGTGTATTTATTTGCTTGTTTAATGGGAAGGATGTGTGTGTTGGGGTCCAGCTTTGGTTTTTTTTTGTCAAGCGTCCCAACTTCCACTTTTGGCTTGTGCTTTCTTGGCAAACAGACTTTAGGGTTCACTCTGAAATTTTTTTTTAGTGAATTTTAAAAATTCAAAATATGCAATTTTGGTATGCGGGATTTTTTTAGGAAATTGTGTGTTCAGTGATTGTTCGTGCTTAACCAAGATGTAAAGGAGCCTGGATGTTTTGTAAACATGGAGCAATCATGAGTCCAAAGTTTCATCTTTATTAATGAAGCTCAGTCTGAATAAAACATTAGCAGGAAAAGAATGATATCAAGTGAATTATGGTACCTCTGTTACTTTGCCATCAAATGAAGAGCATGGAAGGGAATTTGGCAGAATTGCTCTGTATTTTACAAGGGGGTAGCTGAAATTTGACTCGGCGTTTTAAGGCAAAGTGTTAAGTGTGGGTTGTGGTAATAGTATAAAGGTTTTTCATGTTTTAATTACCTTGGAATACAGAATTATAGCTGATGACTACTCAGCCACACAACAGATTTCTTTTTTTTTTCTGTTTTAATCAGATGACTTGAAAGTTTACTTAAAACTTTTTGCTTATGGAAGTGAGGGATTATTGGCCTTGACTTAAGCATGTATCATACAGACTGGCACACTGGTTCCCCCTTCCCCTCGAGCTCCCCTTCCCAGTCACGTTATTATTGCTGGAGCCCTGGGCAGCCCACCTTTCTAATGCTGCAAATGCCTTTCTGGAGTAGAGGTGGCTATTGCACTGGTTTTGTTACATTCACAACAGGGCTAAAACAAACACAAACAATTCATACATGATTTGAGCTCTTCTGTAGGTGTCCCGGTATCAAAAGCTCCTGGCACCAATCTACTGTGTAAACTGCTCCAAGCCTGAGTGTTCCCCGGATCTTCTTGCAGCAATGCCACACCACAAAGCGGAGGATGTTGCTTCCTCCCAGTCATAAAAAGGGGCCATACCCCCCATCCACAGCTAAACTGCCCCCAGGGAATATGGCCTGATGGCATTAGACACTTGGCATGAGTACTGCAGGAGACATCTGCATGTCAAGTGAACACATCTCAAGTAAATGTTGGGGTTGAAACACTTCCTTATCCTAGCCGCACAGAAAGCGTGGCTTGAAATTTGTTTTTTCCGGACTTTTTCTATGGGTGGATGGAAGGGGGAGGGAGGGAAGAAGGTACATGGCAGCAAATGAGACCCAGCATCATCTGGGAGGCTGTCGAAGGATCTGCTGGCCCTGAAGGCAAAGGTGATTGTGCAAGAGCTTCAGCAGGGCAAGATTGTCTGGAAATGCTGCAATGGATTTACAGCACGTTGTGACCTTTCTGGTGCTGTACACTGTCCGTAGGCCTGACAGCTGGGGCTGTTGTGTTCTTTCTCTTTGTCACTTTACCTCTTGCATGCTCGTGTCAACAAGCAAAGCTGCTTGCTTCATCCTCAAGTTGATCGATTTTACAGACATTTCTTAAGTTGCCCTGAGCATCTCTAATGAAAAAAATTACCTTCCAAGTTCAGTGAAATTTAATGCTTAATAAATGTTTGGAAAATGCATTTTTCAAGCATTTCTTTATGCTTCAGTACATTTTTGTTTTGGTTCTAAATAACTCCTGTAATTTTTGTGCTAAGCATGTTCCTGAATGTCAGAGGCAATTCTGAGGGATTAGGTAAGATCCACAGCCAGAAGAAAATATTTCCTATCCACAGCCAGAGGAAAATA